GTGTGTGTGTGTGTGTGTGTGTGTGTGTGTGTGTGTGTGTGTGTGTACACATACATATACAGTATATTGGGGTGCAACGATACAGAAAATTTACGGTTCGGTTATGTTTTTCTTGATATTAGATATTGGCTCATTGTACTTAGTTTATTGTTTTGTGTATGTTTTATGTGTTTTTAATCATGTACAGCACTTTGGCCAATGGGGTTATTTTAAAGCGCTTTACAAATAAAGTTGTATTGTATTGTATAATACTGTCATAATCCCCTTGGCTTTGGGGTGACTCTGGGTATCCCTTCAGCAGTAGTCCATAACATTGTACTTACCTTTCAAAAAACACAGATGCCATGGCGAGGGTCTGGTGCATAAGTCCCCTTTGTTTGATTTGCTTTCTTCTCTAAAAACTATTCTTTGGTGGAGTTGTACTATAATTTTTAGAAGCAAAAATGCCAAAACAGCAACCGGTACCGCCATGTTGGATGTTACAGCTACGACACAGAGGCGCAAGTCAATGACATAATCCGTATTGTCCCAATTCTCAGTTGTTTTCCATGCTTGTAACCTGCGCACTCGAACACTTATGTGCACTTCAACTGAATCCACACTTCACAGAGGGGCGTAGGGTGCGCACTCAGCATTGGGACTGGGCTGCTGACTCGCTGTGGAGGGCTTAATAAGCCACTCGCCCTCGTACGTAATCGGTTTCAGATGGGACTTAATATGGCCAACCCTCTGCAGGCACGTGCAAACTGAGTGTGTAGGGAGTAGGGCGAGTGTGTAGCCACTGACTGTGAAAGGCCCTTACAATCCCTGACAGAAGGTCGGTCACTTATCCATGTTGTAGAAAMAAAAGCTTAGAACCTGATTTTAAATTCATCTATTTTTTTTTTTAGAAAAGATTCATATGAAGGCTGAAACCCTCCCAAATGAGGTTTAATTTACAAAAATAAATTTGCTTCACTGCAGAAATGTTGATCATTTAATGAACACAGAAAGGTCAGATTTTGGCAAAACAAAAGTTTTGTCACCCTGTCATTTGAAGTAGTAGTAAATAGCTACTTGGCAAAAATACTCAACACCAAAGTAGATATTTATTCTTTTTATTTGTTGTTTTGGATGTTCATAGAATAACTTTGATATTGTGAGTGCCCATTCCTGTGGGGGAACAGAT